GGAGAGAAGAGCCCCTGAAATTTCTACTCATAGTTTGCTTTAGCATTTCTGGACTCCTTGAGATCACGGCGCTGAGACAAGTCGAGGAAAATGAACAGAAATAACTGTTTTCATGAGGCCAATGGAAACCACATTCAGATCCAGGAAAAGAAAAATGAGACAGGAAAGGGAGGGTCACATTTTTGGAGGAAATCATGTGGTATTTTGGTAATCCTTTGTTGATGAAAAAAAAATTAACAGCACATTAATTATGTCCTAAGAATGGGGCGTTGCTGGTCTGCATCTTCGGCCTTTCCAAGGCTGGGCCAGCAGTCCAAGCATTGACCACTTTGTGGAATGGAAACCAGGGCTTCTGCTCTCTGAAAGGGTCCTGGACGTACACCCCCCACCCCCAACACCTTTTCTCGGGCTGAAATCTGATCATGCAAGAGTTCAGGAAATCAGAGGCTCTTTTACAAGACAACTAATGACAACCAAAAAGTGTAGGACCGTTATAAGATTGGTAGTGTTCTGTCAGCACAAAGTAATGTAACTGAATATGCTAAGAAAGATATGTTTTCCTCCCTCCCTCCCTTCCTTCCTTCCCTCCTTCTTAAAATATATTTTTATTGATTTCAGGGAGAGCAAGGGAGAGGGAGAGAGAAATATCAATAATGAAAGTCATTGACGGGCTGCCTCCTGCACGCCCCCTGCTGGGGATCGAGCCCGCAGCCCGGGCATGTGCCCTGAATTGAATGGAGATCTCCTGGTCAATGCTCAACTGTTGAGCCACGCCAGCTGGGCTATGTAGGATATTTCTGAGTCAAGTATCTGCCCTCAAGTCCCTGTGTTTTAAGATGACATATGCCCCTCCAAGTGGTCTCAATGAAGCTGGTGGATATGCTAAAACTGACCCGCGGGGGAAGGCCACGCACTCCAGCACATCACCCAGCTTTCCACAATCCTTCACACTGCCAGCTCCCCTACCTGCCTCCATCAGTCAAGTTCTCTTTTATGGCTTCACAATGGGTCATAAGCTAAGGTGGGAAAAGCCAGCTTCACAAAATCTTATCTCCTTCTACATAGGTGGTCTCGGACCTTGCTTTAGGCTTTCTACTTGCTGGTCTGTATTGTTCTGGGCCTTTGGTCCCTTGCAGAAACCCCTCAACAGTAGGAAGAATTAAAGAGAATTTTGTTACTCATTTAGAAATATGCTACAGGTAGTTACAGAATAGTTGCAGAGATGTAAATTAGAGTATAGGGTATATAATCAATAATATCGTAATAACTAAGTATGGGGCCAGGTGGGTACTTGAAATATGAGGAGGACCACTCTGTAAAGTACATGATTGTCTAACCACTATGCTATACATCTGAAACTAATACAGGATACTATTGAATGTAAACTGTTATTGGAAAAAAAAAATATGCTACCGTATATTTCTGAAAAGATTTCCACACTGTCGTATAAATTGATGCAAACATTATTTCTGTGAAATTTCCCATTTT